TTAGCAGACCAGGAAGCAAGCTGGGCAGCAGAGGTATAGGGTGTGGGTCAGAGGAATAGGAACAGATGGAGCTGTGAAGGGCTGAGCAAAGATGTGGTTGTGAGGGGAAGGTGAATGAGCAAGACATTGCAGGATATGAGGGGTTGAGTGGAGCTTTCGAGAAATGGGGAAGCATTCAGTAGGACTATGAACAACTGCACAAGTGTACTCTGGGATAAATTACAGCCAACCTTCAACATCAGTCTCTTAATTACATTGTTTCACCTTTATATCTGTTATATTTTGGTAGTTCATTAGGATATAGAGCTACAAACATATATTTTCCGAACTCTTTTGTTCACCTTTAATACTACCTGCTACAAAAATAAAGAGAAAAGTATTGAAATGATGCTACACGCTTTTAGATTGCCATAAAGTGTCCCACAAGATGAAAATAATTGAAAACACATGGTAACAATGTCAACCTCTCTTTTAACATACAAACTATTTTTTCTTTAATGTATTTCTCGTATATTAGTATTCATAACCAAAACTGCACCCATCAAATTATAAGATCAAGAAATGACTCCATGAATAGATAAATGAGGATACAGACTGGTCTATTGAACTCAATAAACCTTAATTTTTAAGCCCCTGATCCTGTAATCAAATCCATTAGTGCAGACACTTAGCCTGTTTGGAGCTCCATTATTCCACTAAGGCATATCTTCCTGTAGGGTCAGGATCGAAGGATCTAACTAAAGCCAACATATTTTTGTTTTTGAAGGAAGGTTGGTTTTACGTGCCCAAGTGGGAAAAGTATAAAAGAAAATATGGGAAAATGCATACTGAAGGCTAGACTTGATTTCAGTTATTCAATAACTCAATTGCAGTTACTGCAGTTACTCCAAATTTACACTGATATCAGAATCTGCCCCTTGAGCTTCTGTCCCTGTAGATTTCTGTACAAAGTATATTCTGCACATTGGGGCATATTTTATAATCAATTTGTAGGCAGAATTTCTTATTTAAATGGGGAGTTCTGCTTAAAATCTGATGGTATTTATTGGCCCACTATTTCTTAGCTTATTTTTTTAGCAGTTTCTAAATCTGGGAAGATTTTAGGAACCATATTTTTGCCCAGGAATAACACAAACCAAGAAAAATAATACTGATAATTAATTATTATTATTTTGTTCTCCAGTTTTTAATCTGGCAACAATTTCAGCAAAGTGGATAGACAGAATACAAGGAAACCAATCATAACAGTCATTTACACAGTTTAAAAAGATATTACACTTGTAATATTAGTTCTGCACATTCATAAGTGATTGTGGGTACCAACCATTAAAAGTGTATACTAATTATTGTCAGCCATTTGGCATATTTCTCAATTTAATACTTTTATGTAATGCCTTTAAGTTAGGCATCATTTCACTGTTCTCATAAAGTGAAGCTTGGGCTCAATGAAAAAGAACATATGACAACAACAGTAACAATGTAAAAAGTAGAAGAAGTAGGATGTTCGCTGGACTGTGTATTCAAATACTTCACTGTGTGTTGTCCCACTCTGGACCTAAAATGGCTGTTTTGCAGGATGTTGTTGCTTGGTGACCTCAAGTGCATCTCCTAGACCACAGAGGGATGTGAACATTCTGAGATTGATTTGTTCCTGTTGCTCTTGAGGAGACCAGGCCAGTAAAATAGAAGAAGACTACGTGTAACTATCTAAATATTCTGCTTGTTTGTATATTTAAGTTGATATTTAAAACAGGCTTGTGATTTTGGGATGCTCACCAAACAAGCAATGGGAAAAATGGACAAAACCTAGCATGTCACTGCCCATGAAATACAAGAAGTAGACCAAGCCTTAGCTACTCTAAGCCTGCAAGATACCCTTGCTTCAATTAAGTCTGCATTGTATGTCTAGTCTGTTCCGGTTGAACCTCCCAGTTGCTATCAGTCTCTCTTTCTTTCATTAGAATCAAGTAGTTAATTAGCCCCAGTCTGTCCTCTCCCCTTCTCTCTTTCCCTTTAACGCAGCAGTAATGATGTCTAATTACCAGCAGCAGTGGATTACAGCACCATCAGGAGCAAATCTCTGTGGCTGACAGCAAAGCTGAGCAACAAACCTTAGAGCTTCAAGGAGAGAATAATTCTGAACAACGTCGTTGCATATTATTTACTTATTTTTAACCAGTTTATGACTTTGAAGTTAAAATTGTAATTTCATCTAAGTGATGCACAGAGAGTGCTTGCGCTGGCCAGAATGACCATTGATGATTAATTGTACATTAATTACTTTTACTATTGAGAGATCAAGTGATGGAGAAAGTTTTTACTCTTTTAGGCTTTGATACTGTTTGTGGCTGTTTTTGTGAGCAGGAAGAGCTCAAATTTCTGTGACAACAGCAAGACAAAAATGGCATAAGTACTGTAGAACCTAAACAATAGGGTTAGTTATGAATTATCATAAATGAATAAACTCTTCAATAGTGTGGATTTCACTAAATGAATGAAAGGGTGGGCTTTTGAGAGCTAAACAACAATAACTTGTAAGGGTGCCACCTGAAAACATCAGGTTACTCCTATATAAAACATAATTTTGAGTTACAGAGTGAAATCCTAGCACCATTTAAGTCAATGGGAGTTTTGTCATTAACTTTAATGGGTCCAGGATTTCACCCATAATATATAAAACAATTCCTTTTGGAGCATTCAGCATTTGGTACTCTTTGGCATATAGTAACATATCAGACAAATAGATGCCACTCTACGGATCTGCTTAAACAATGCTACTTCCCTTTGTGATTGGAGTATGAAGTTAATTGCATGTGTTTAAGTGGGGGATGACATTTGTTTTTAGTAACTGGTAAGTTGTATCTGAATGCTGTGCATACTCTTTTCTTGTTTATACTGTGAAACAGATGTTGGAAACCAAACACTTAGGCAAATGGAAGTCAGTGGACGTTTTACCGGAGCAAAGACTGCAGGATCTGTTACTTAATATTTTATGTTTAATAATTCAATATAATGCAGACATACTTCAAATTTTTATGGCTGTATCAATGGTAGCTCTCTTGTCCTGCTTTTGTTATGGTGCCTGGTTGGTTGTTATAATATTTATCTATCTATTGAGAGAGAGAGATACACAAATATTCACAGGATTCCAAATGTAAGCAGAAGCATTAAGACCAACATTTAATTAAAATCTCTTAACCGATAAACACATCAAGAAAGGTTCTAGACACAGGGACTGGAAAAAATCAAGAACGACAAAAAGCGGGAAGGAAATCCAAACCCTCCTGGCCTAGTAAAGATGCCAGACAATGTACAAGTTGGTGACATAAAAAAGTGTTGTTTTTTGAAAGGCCCAGAATAGCTCTACCTTTTACTAAATCTTGTAAAAATAACGTTAGCCTTTTTATTCAGACTGTTCATTAATTTAATTTTACCCCAAAATAAGGAATTTGCTTGCAGTTCTGAACTTGTGATGAAAAGTAAACCCATAAGAAATAAAAGACCTTTCATGCAAGACACTTAAAAAAACACTGCTCCAATTAGTGGAAGAATAAAATAATTCAGCCTACAAGTATAATTCTATTTGAGATAATTTTTCCTATGTTCTAGGCTTGATTTTCAATTTCCATCCCAAAATATATTTGATCTACAGAGAATCTCAGGATCAAATATTAATAATCTGCTGTTTAACTCTAGAAAAGTAACATGCCATTCTCCATGTAAAGCCTGGATCTATAGGCAGACCTAGAACCCTTTGTGAATAGAAGAGGTAAGGAGGGAACATAAACATCGCTCAGAACATTCTCTATCTCTTGCCTTTTAACTCCTTTACAAAATTAAATCCACATCTATACTACCTGACCACAGTTACTTTGATGATTAGAAAGAGGACAAATATAAACTAGCACCACAAATGCCTTGATTTATTAATACTTTGAAGAAGATACTTCTACAGAATCTCCAGATTTTCCCCAGCAACACATGTTGTAATTAAACCTAGAATACTTTTCAAGAAGCCTTCTGTATTATGCCATCCAGGAGCATATTCATTAGACCAGGATGAGATTTCAATGCAAAAGAAAATATTGTTTATCAAACCAAAATACCAAAGCAGAAATAAAAGACTGTCTGTGTTTCCATCTTTAGATCCCCAAATAAGGAGTCTAAATTCCCTGAGGTAGTTTAGAGGGGGAAAATGATATATTAAAGAGTTCGATATGCAAACCTACTTGTAGCCAATAGTTCCCATCTTCTTAAATAGGAAATTCTGTAGCTCTTGCCACCACCAAGCATAATAGCTCCTCCGCTGTTAGAACTGCGTCTAGCTATTCAGATTCAGACCCTGGGAAGGCTGGTGCTAGTACTGGATGGCATCAATTGAGTTTAAGCTTTATAGCTGTGAGGCTTGAGCAATCCCAGAAAGAGAAACAAAATCTACCATTTGGTCATGTGGAAACCGCTCTCTCTCTCTCTTTGTTGATCATCCTCTCCTCGCCTCCTTTAATAAAATAGCAACGCTCCAGATTCATCAAGGCATATCCCTGCTGCTCCGTGTCTCAGGGGCTGTGGTCTAACAATACAAAAACCCGATATCCCGGGGAAGCCCCCAAATAAAGGACCGGCGCCACAATGGGCTTTGTGCCAACAAGGATACACCGTGCTCTATCGATCGCAATAGAATATTATGAAAATGTGCCGCTGTAATCGTAATTGTGTGGCCTTTATACAATGGCAAGACACGCAACAGACAGCACACAGCCAAAGGGCCGGGACAATAGCCCACCCCAAAATAACAGCATAGAGGAAGCGGGGGCGGTGGGGTGCATGATCCCTTGAAATTAAAAGGCCACAAAGCCCGAACCTGTGCATAATGTGACACGCAAATACAACATGGTGATGGCTTAGGGGGGAAGAGAGAAACGGGCCAACTGTGGCTGTCCTCTCTCCCACTATAGGCTGCATTTGTCGCCATATAACAAGGAAGACAATTCTCTACTAACCGTGGTTTTGACTGGCACGTACAGCACTTGCTTCCCTCTTCCACCAGCACCATTGACCTCGTCCGAATTGCCGAGCTGGAAACCTTTAGATTTGACCCAGAATTTAAATTTGGCATTATCCGTGGAGCTCGATTCGGAGCCATTCAAGAGCTGGACGATCCGATCGTATTTTTTACGGGTCACCGTCTTGGTTTTCCCCGAGTCCCCGTAAGTCCTGAGACACCAGTCCTGAAACTGGCGATACATGTCCCGGTCGCTGCTCTCCATGATCTCCTACGAGACACCACACACACTACAAAACGGGCCGTGCCTGGATCTTCCAAATGTACTTTGCACCTGTTCACCTAGTGCTCATGAAAAATGCATCCACCACCAAGATGGAATGAGAGGAGGTCCCGGTGCGAGCAGATCCCAGCTGATTTTTGTTGTTGTTGTTGTTGGGGGCAGGGGGGGATGGGTAGGGGGTTAGCAATCAATTCAATAGTGTAGCAATGTTCTTGTTCATTTTTTTTTAACTGTGCCGGATCACAGAAGGCAAACGGGTCTCGTAGAGGCTTCTCTTATCCTTCTACTGTACGTGATCGCTCTCCAATATTGTGCAAGGCAGGACTATCCCACTGTCTCCAGTAGCGTCTACCCAGAGGGTTTTGATTTATAAATAATTAAAATCCTATCCCTTGGCTTAACAAAAAGAGAAAATAGAATATTGACTCGTATTCTTCTCTCTCATGTATCAGCTCCACCCGGCTGCACCGGGGATGGTGCAGGTGAAAAAACACCCTCCACCCCAGCCAGCCCTCGCCGCTTTTTCAAAGGGTTTTCTGTGTCTGTCCTGAAGGACCGTGCCTCTCCTAAAGCAGCCTCTGTGCAGGATGGAGGAAACACTGAAGGGCAAACTGGTCTCTGTTCCCTGGCTGTTTTTGCTTTAGATTTCTCTGCTTTGGGCATTAAAGTACGGGAAAGAAAGAAAGTTCTTACCTGTTATTTTCCTTCCTAACAAATCCCATCCACATTTTTTATATTTTTATTTTTTGTAAACGGTCTGTGAAAATTTCACTTGCTCCTACTCAGTCCCATTGAATTTCAGATGCCCTAATAGGAATTCGTATTTATTTATTTATTTAAAATCCCAGCAGATGGAGGAAAAATATGTACCAGATATGATCAGATGTTAGACCAAAGGAGAGAGATCAGTCCCAGAAGGATGTTGGTAAGAAAAGAAGGCGGCTGTCGGTTGGTCTGCCAGTTTAATAATGGTGCTCACACATGTAGGACTCCTCCGGTCTGGGGTTTCCTTGCTAAACTGGCTACAAGGCATTGAAGTAAGTTTGCGTACGGATGCTTAATAGAACCCCCTTATTTTTTGAAGGGATCGATTTTTTTCTCTCCCTTTGGCTTTGCCACAGTTTCAAGTCACCCTTGAGATTTCTGATCTCTCCCTTTTTCCTACCACGTAACGAAGGACACCCCCTTCTCTGGTGAAAGTAGCCAAATTGTTAGCTCCTCTTGACGATCTTCCAAGGCAAATGCAGACTGCAGCTCCTCCATTCAATACCTATTTCCAATCATTAAAAGGAACCAGGAGAAGGGGAGTTCCCATCCTCCTCTCCCAGCGTCTGCAAGATCCCCTGTCTTAGACACACACACTCCCACTCTCTGTCTCTGTGTGCTTCAACCCGTCCTGCTCCTGTTCAGCTCCTCTGCTAAACGGGCGGCCAGACAAGTGCACACACATTCCTGGTCCGTTTCACAGCCAGCATTTCCCCATTTTTATATACGGGTTGGGTTTGTTTGGTTTTTTTTTTTTCCTCCTCTGGTCTCCAGAACGAAAACAAAGTGAAACGCCTCGGCACCCTGGCGCACCCTGGAGCAGCCTTGTCCCAGGCAGGCACTTGCAAAATGGTCAGCCCCTCCTCCTCCTTCTCCGCCTTCCCGGCTCGCTCTGCTCAGTGGCTCTATTGGAAGGTCTGGCGGCGGCTGGAGCCGGGACTGACAGCAGCGGCACAGGCTGAGCGAGAGCAAAGCTCCACACTAAACCTCTCTCTCCCCCCCGCCGTCGCCCGCGCGCTGATTGGCCAGCGGGACAAAAGTTTCTGTGGAGACGGCTGAGCAGCTACGTGACGGACAGAATTGTCCCATTTAGGGATCCCGGGCAGTGCGCATGCTGCAGGCGGCAGCAGGTTACAGAACGCGGGGCAGGCGGGGCGGCCAGGCAGCAAGGTGGCGCAGGGAAGGAGAGGCGGCTGCAAGCACATCCTCAGCCAGAGCCAGGTGGGGGGGGGGGGGAATGCAAGGGGAGGGTTTCCATGGAGATTTCACCGAGCCCCCCCCTTCCCTTCTACACACACAGCAGATCAGCTGACACATCATTAGCTTAGGACCTAATTATTGCTTATTGGAGCAACAAATGAGAGAGAGGGCCAGCTGCAGGAGGCAGAGCGATTTTCCTTTGCACCCGGTGGACTAAGGCAGCGGTCAGCAGTCCCGGGTGGATTCTCATTAACTTGCAGGGTTCCCACAGAAGCGGGAGCAGCAGACCTCAGTCTGGCTGCACCGCCACCCACCCACGTCCCTTCCTGCTTCTTGTTTTTTTTAAAATGCAAAAGTGGCCGGGGAATATTTTATGTCTCCAAATTAAACTGGCCTGTGAACCTGGTGTTAGCCCACAAGCTTGAGTGGCAGCCACATCTGGAGGAGGGCACTATAGCTAACACATCTGGCGGAGAGACAGCAAATCCCAGCAGTTACCATTTAAAAGGGGACGTGGAGGCCTTTAGAGGATCAGTTTATCCATTTTGAAATAAAAGAAAAACACTTCTGGTTTTCTTTTCTTCTGTTTGAGTCTCTAGTTCACCGCCAGGAATCGGAGCAGCAGGATAGCTTCCGACAGTTTGCTTGTATCATCTTTGGGCAAATGTAAGACCATCACCAAGAAAATCCTAACAGGCATTAGGACATTTCTACACCGTTCTCTTCACAGGTGCAAACTCCACAGAGACTCAGGAACTCCAACCCAACCCCTCCCAAGTGGGCTCTGATTCATAGATTCCGAGGCCAGAAGGGACCATTGTGATCATCTCATCTGACTTCCTGTACAACAGGCCATAGAACTTCCCTAAAATAATTCCTAGAGCAGCTCTTTTAGAAAAAGAGATGCGTCTCACTCTTCTGAGGCCCAAGTGTAGTACAGACACTCTAAATGAACACATGGACAAAACAGAAGCCACTACAAAGGATGTGGGATTAATTATCACAAATAACACTGTTGATAACCTCAACTTCATGAGTCCACATTTCTGATATTGCTAATTTCCAGAAATGAAAGTAAATTGTCACACGATTGATAGGGGACTAAGCCCAGGGACAATGGAGGGAATACATCTCCTCTTTCTACATCCAGTTGACCCAAAATAAATTTTACATTTTTATTTTCAAAGGTTTAATTTGTTGTTTAGTTCTTAGCAGAAGGTGGCGTAGAATAGATTGTGTTTGGGTTTCTAGCCACCGCAGGCCTGGAAGAAACGAACTAATGCAAAAGGTAGTTGTTGAGTCTCCGGAGGTGAGATGCTGGACTTTATTGCTCCCCATCTCTCCTTTCTCAATGACTTGTGCAACATGAAGGCAAGGTCCCTTTGAAAAGGGGCAATGATGGAGAGAATTCCTAGTATCCATATGTGTGGTAGAGCGCCCCACTCTGGCCAGCCTATGATGAAATATTTCTAAATTAAAACACTTTCATAGTGGTTCTAAGCACCACCTCTTCCATGTTGGCTAAATCTTGTGAAGTGCTGAGCATGCTCAGCTCTCAATAAAGTTATTAGGAGTTGAGGGCCCTGCACTCCAGAGGATCAGGCCCAGATCACTTGAGGTTTTGGAAGCCCTGCTAATACTACTCCTGTATCCCATGACACTGTGTTTGCTTTGGGCTTTTATATGTAGAGCTACCATATTATATTTCCAGGCAAATATATGCCCAGGCAAAATCAAGGACAAGACTTTTGTTTAAAGGCAGGACTACTTCCTAGCAGCATTAGAGAGCAATATTAGTATTCCCAACACCGTGCTTAGCATCAGTAGGATCTGGGAGGGCAGTCAGACATAGGGTGCTACTACATTAAAAACATGCTTGCAATAAGGGGAAAGGACCATGAGAAAGTAGACAGAGGTACATAGAGGAGGAGGAAGGCAGGCTGGGGGAAAGGACAGAGAAAAATAGGACATGCACATAGGTCAATGAAGCCCATGATTTTTTATTGGCCACTGGTCCAAAAATTATCATGACAGCCCTGTTTAACACGGGTTGAATACAGGACTTGTGTGACCATTGCAGGAGCTGTGGGACAGACACCATAATGGAATTGCTACCAAGAAGTGGAGAGTTGGAAATATAGAGCATCTCATTAGAACTTTGGTCAGCAGATTTTAAGGGAAGTAATATCGTTTTAATTATGACTGTTGCAGTGATTTAAAAAATTAATCGCAATTAATCGCATGATTAAACAATAACAGAATACAATTCATCTAAATATTTTTGGATGTTTTCTACATTTTCAAATACATTGTATTGTGTTGTAATTGAAATCAAAGTGTACAGTGAATCATAGAATCATAGAATCATAGAATATAAGGGTTGGAAGGGACCCCAGAAGGTCATCTAGTCCAACCCCCTGCTCGAAGCAGGACCAATTCCCAGTTAAATCATCCCAGCCAGGGCTTTGTCAAGCCTGACCTTAAAAACCTCTAAGGAAGGAGATTCTACCACCTCCCTAGGTAACGCATTCCAGTGTTTCACCACCCTCTTAGTGAAAAAGTTTTTCCTAATATCCAATCTAAACCTCCCCCACTGCAGCTTGAGACCATTACTCCTCGTTCTGTCATCTGCTACCATTGAGAACAGTCTAGAGCCATCCTCTTTGGAACCCCCTTTCAGATAGTTGAAAGCAGCTATCAAATCCCCCCTCATTCTTCTCTTCTGCAGGCTAAACAATCCCAGCTCCCTCAGCCTCTCCTCATAAGTCATGTGTTCCAGACCCCTAATCATTTTTGTTGCCCTTCGCTGGACTCTCTCCAATTTATCCACATCCTTCTTGTAGTGTGGGGCCCAAAACTGGACACAGTACTCCAGATGAGGCCTCACCAATGTCGAATAGAGGGGAACGATCACGTCCCTCGATCTGCTCGCTATGCCCCTACTTATACATCCCAAAATGCCATTGGCCTTCTTGGCAACAAGGGCACACTGCTGACTCATATCCAGCTTCTCGTCCACTGTCACCCCTAGGTCCTTTTCCGCAGAACTGGTGCCTAGCCATTCGGTCCCTAGTCTGTAGCTGTGCATTGGGTTCTTCCGTCCTAAGTGCAGGACCCTGCACTTATCCTTATTGAACCTCATCAGATTTCTTTTGGCCCAATCCTCCAATTTGTCTAGGTCCTTCTGTATCCTATCCCTCCCCTCCAGCGTATCTACCACTCCTCCCAGTTTAGTATCATCCGCAAATTTGCTGAGAGTGCAATTCACACCATCCTCCAGATCATTTATGAAGATATTGAACAAAACCGGCCCCAGGACTGACCCTTGGGGCACTCCACTTGATACCGGCTGCCAACTAGACATGGAGCCATTGATCACTACCCGTTGAGCCCGACAATCTAGCCAGCTTTCTGCCCACCTTATAGTGCATTCTTCCAGCCCATACTTCCTTAACTTGCTGACAAGAATACTGTGGGAGACCGTGTCAAAAGCTTTGCTAAAGTCAAGAAACAATACATCCACTGCTTTCCCTTCATCCACAGAACCAGTAATCTCATCAGTGCTCACTTTATATTTGATTACAAATATTTTTATTGTAAAAAACAAAAGAAATAGTATTTTTCAATTCACCTAATACAAGTACTATAGAGCAATCTCTTTATCTTGAAAGTTGTACTTACAAATGTAGAATTATGTACCAAAAAACCCTGCATTCAAAAATAAATCGGTGTAAAACTTTCGAGCCTACAAATCCAATCAGTCCTACTTCTTGTTCAGCCAATCATTCAGACAAACAAGTTTGTTTACATTTGCAGAAGATAATGCTGCCTGCTTCTTGTTTACAATCTAACCTGAAAGTGAGGAGAGCTATTTGCATGGCACTGTTGTAGCCAGCATTACAAGATATTTACATCCATGCCGGGTGCGCTAAAGACTCATATGTCCCTTGATGTTTCAACCACCATTCCAGAGGACATGCATCCATGCTGATGATGGGTTCTGCTCGATAACAATCCAAAGTAGTGCGGACCAATGCGTGTTCATTTTCATCACCTGAGTCAGATGCCACCAGCAGGAGGTCGATTTTCTTTTTTGGTGGTTCAGGTTCTCTAGTTTCCGCATCAGAGTGTTGCTCTTTTAAGACTTCTGAAAGCATGCTCCACACCTCATCCCTCTAAGATTTTGGAAGGCACTTCAGATTCTTAAATCTTGGGTTGAGTGCTGTAGCTATCTTTAGAAATTTCACATTGGTATCTTCTTTGCATTTTGTCAGATTTGCAGTGAAAATGTTCTGAACAACATGTGCTGAGTCATCATCCGAGATTGCTATAACATGAAATATATGGCAGAATGTGGGTAAAACAGAGAAGGAGACATATAATTCTCCCCCAAGGAGTTCGGTCACAAATTTAATAAACACATTCCTTTTTTTAACAAGTGTCATCAGCATGGACGCATGTCCTCTGGAATGGTGGCTGAAGCATGAAGAAGCATATGAATCTTTAGAACATCTCTCACGTAAGTATCTTGCTACGCCAGCTACAACAGTGCCATGCGAATGCCTGTTCTCACTTTCAGGTGACACTGTAATTAAGAAGTGGGCAGCATTATCTCCTGTAAACATAAACAAACTTGTTTCTCTTAGCGATTGGCTGAACAAGAAAAAGGACTGAGTGGACTTGTAGGCTCTAAAGTTTTACATTATTTTGTTTTTGAGTGCAGTTATGTAACAAAAAAACCTATATTTGTAAGTTGCACTTCAACGACAAAGAGATTGCA